GCATTGGGGAAAGTCCTTGGGGTTGGAGGTTAGTGGGGAGGATGTGGAAGAGTTGATGGAGGAGGACAATGAAGAACTAACCACTGATGAGCTGCAAGATCATCTTCAACAGCAAGAGGCCAGACCTGAGGAAACTGCTTCGGAGGAGGGGAGAGAGAAATTGAAGAAGTTGCCTACTTCAAAGATTAAGGAAATGTGTGCAAAGTGGCTTGAAGTGCAAACCTTTATGGATGAAAATCGCCCTCACACAGCTATTGCAAGCCGTGCTGGTGACTATTACAATGACAGTGTTGTGAACCACTTTAGACAAATCATAAAGGAACGGGAGGTACAGGCCTCTATGGACAGATATGTTGTGCAACAGAGGTCCAGTGACTCTCAAGCTGGTCCTAGTGGCATTAAAAGAAGAAGGGAAGTAACCCCGGAAAAGGACCTGATATCTCAAGTCCTAATGGAAGGGGATTCCCCTTCTAAACATTAACAACTTCCACACTCTCCCCTCCTCCCATCCCATCAATCATCACCAGATCTTCAATAAAGGTAAGTGTCAGTTTGTGTGTATTAAAATTAATATTTCATGTGGTAAAATTTTTTTTTTTTCATACTTTGGGGTGTTTTGCACGGATTAATTTGATTTCCATTATTTCTTATGGGGAAAATTAATTCAGCTAACGATAATTTCAGCATACGATGAGCTTTCAGGAACGGATTAATATCGTTAGCTGAGGGTCCACTGCATATGTTAGTGTAAACTTATTATCAGACATAAATGGCGTTCTGCTTTCGGATGATGTTCGCTTTCTGGCAGTAGCCTGGAACCTAACCTGCCATATAAGTGGAGCCCTACTGTATATATATGCATGTACATGCATTTGTAGTGTGATATAAGTGTAATTAGAAGTAGTAAAATATACCTGTTACCTTGCGTGTTTATGAGACAGACATAAGACACCAGCAATCCTACCATCATGTAAAACATTAACAGGTTTCCATTTCACTCACTTAGCAGGACGGTAGTACTTCCCTGGGCAGTTGCTGTCTACCAGCCTAATACCTAGGAGAGAATATTCAATTAGTTTTTATTTCAGTTACTTATGATCACTGCACCAATTTTTGCACAGTAGACCGTCGTTTATCATGGTAGTTATGTTCCTGAAAACCCTGTTTTAGTTAAAAAGCCGTGTTAGACAAACTGAAGAACTTATGGGAAAAAATAGGGTTACGTTCCTGGGAACCCCCAAAAAGCTAAACAACTTTGAGACCAACAGATCTTCAAAAATAAAAGTGAATATGTAATTGTAGTTCATTGTCGTGATGTTTTATGTTGTTTTTACTGCTTAAGATTACAAATGCAACAGAAATAATAGTATTTCTTACCTTAAATTGTGCATGCTGGTGTTTGTGGATGATTGTGGAGAGTGGAGAGTTATGCTGTGGTCCTACTGGACTGAGGTGGATGATAGAGGTTCTGGTATTGAAGTCGATGGTTGTACCGGAGTGTGCATAAATTCTGCAATGGATTTCTGTTCTGTTTTACCCTGCAGTACATTATACAATTAATGGTAAGGCATCAGCTGCTCTAGATACTGTTTCAGGGTCCTCTTCATCGAAAAAGTCTACCTTCAGATCAGTAAATCAGTCAAGTCAGCAAGTCAAATAAGTCAGTAAATCAGTCAAGTCAGTAAGTCAATCATTCAAGTCAAGTCAGTAAGTCAGTCAGGTCGGTCAGTAATACAGTCAGTCAGTCAGTCAAGTAAGTCAGTAAATCAGTCAAGTCAGTAAAGTCTGTCATGATAAACTCATATTTACCTCATTCTTTTTATGTGCACAAAGTGATGCTGCATTACAGTTACAGGTTATCTCTTGTCTAATATATCTATTTTCGTTGTTAATTTAAAGACTTAAATGCTTATACATTTTCTTGTCACTCTACAGACTTGGGCCCCGGACACTTATGGTATTTTCTCTTAGTGTACCAATGGCACCCCTACTTTTCACTGGGGGTATTTTGCATCACCTGCTCAGTCTTTTACTTTTGTAGGGAGTGATTTCTGTGTGCAGATTCAAGACCATTCCTTCTAGGATTTTCCAAATGTAGATTATGATGTATCTCTCTCGCCTGCATTCCACTGAGTACAAGGCAAGTGCTTCCAAGCATTCCCAGTAGTTGAGGTGTTTGATGGAACTTATATATGCAGTAAAGGTTCTCGGTGCACTTGCTAGATCTGCAATTTCACCTGCTTTGAACAGAGATGTTAATGTACAGCAGTATTCCAGCCTAGAGAGAACAAGTGATTTGAAAAGGATCATCATTGGCTTAGCATCTCTTGTTTTGAACGTTCTCATTCTCTCACTTGACTGGGTTCTTGCATTTCTTGATGAACATGGAGTTTCATTAGTCCGGGCCTGGAGCAGAGTGCATGGGCATGCCATTAATTGCCTTTTAAAGTCTTGTGGTGTTAGGATAATATCAGAGATTTTTTAAATGACCATATTTTGAGTCTCAGTCAAAATCTGCTCATTTAGTTTGTCGACCCTTAGTCTGGTTAACTGCTTACTGAATACTGAGTCATATTGGGACTTTAATATCTCACTCATTTCTCATGAGGAGATGCTACAACTTTTGTGTTTGACAGGTTGGTGCTGTGACACTTTTTTCCTTAATATAATTTCTGTCACAAAGTGAAATAACATTAACCAAACTGTTGCTGTACAATGTGGTACATCTACATGTCTTGTATTCATGTTTATCTAGTTTTTTAAATATTTAAATACTTGCTGCTTTTGTTCACTTAGTAGTAAATAGATACAGTATCTAGAAGTTACTTAGCATTTTGTGGTTGCATCTTAAGGAGGACCTAACAACCCATACTGAAATAAGCTGTGCACCTTCTCCTTATTACTTAAATTTATCTGGTATATACAGGTGAGCCACACTTACACAGCAGGTTACCTTCTGGGCTTCTGCTGTAAAACAAAAATCACTGTAAAGTTAAACATAGCCTTTTTTCATTTTCAAATGCATGTAAAAGGCTGATAACATGTTCACACTATCAAATATTAAGTGAGTTAGGTCTAAAATAAATGCATGTATAATACACACATTGCTTACCTTAAAATATTTTTGCCTTAGCTTCTAGTGAATGTTCAATATATTTATTGTAGGAAGTCTGCATAAATGGGGAATGAGTATAATTAAAAACTACTGTATTAACAAAATGCTGTAAAGTGGGGCCCTCCTGTATAATGTATTCAGTTTTATGGAGTTACATCAGGCCCTTATCCACCACAAGGCCTGGTCATAGACCAAGCCGCGGGGGCATTGACCCCCGGAATCCTCTCCAGGTATACTCCAGTAAATCTTTTTTAACACACCAGCTGTCTTCCACTGAGTCAGGGTGACCCAAAAAAGAAACACTGTCACTATCACTGTCTCACCCGAGGCACACCAGTACTACAGTTTATGTGCCCCTCCAAACTGTAGATATCCCCACTCCTCCTTCAGAGTGCAGGCACTGTACTTCCCACCTCCGGTACTGAAGTTCATCTAATTGGTTTCCCTATATAACAATTAAAACATTTTTTTACAGATTATTCATGTTCCTTTCATTATTGTGTTTATTGTAATTGCTTTGTGTTTTCACTGAGTAACTTTATTTAGGGCTTTGATGAGATCACAATCAAAATTTAATATACAAAAATTCTTGTACTGTACTTAAGTATGTGACATTAATAATAAAACATTTGATAGTACAGGGCCATCCATCACTAATCCAGCAATCAGCTATCCGGTTCCATCAGTAATCCGGCACTAATTTCGGCTAGCATAATTTCAAATTTCATCATTATACGTACTGGCTCAAATTTCGTCATTATATTGACTTAGAAATTGTGCAGATAGTTGTAAATCCACAGCAGCAAGCCAGTGGAGGAGAAAGTGGTGATGAAAATGAGGAAGATATAGCAGAAAGAGTATTGACAGGTTAATTAAGTGTATTGTAACCTAACGACTCTGTAATCCAGCAAGCTCACTAATCCAGTAAGCTCACTAATCCGGCAAGCTCACTAATCCAGCAAGCTCACTAATCCAGCAAGCTCACTAATCCAGCAAGCTCACTAATCCAGCAAGCTCACTAATCCGGCAAGCTCACTAATCCGGCAAGCTCACTAATCCGGCAAGCTCACTAATCCAGCAAGCTCACTAATCCAGCAAGCTTACTAATCCGGCAAGCTCACTAATCCGGCAAGCTCACTAATCCGGCAAGCTCACTAATCCGGCAAGCTCACTAATCCAGCAAGCTCACTAATCCAGCAAGCTCACTAATCCGGCAAGCTCACTAATCCAGCAAGCTCACTAATCCAGCAAGCTCACTAATCCAGCATGCTCACTAATCCAGCAAGCTCACTAATCCAGCAAGCTCACTAATCCAGCAAGCTCACTAATCTGGCAAGCTCACTAATCCGGCACACTACAGGTCCCAGTGATGCAGTATTAGTGATGGCCGACCTGTGTGTAGTATTTTGCCAGGTTATTATTTCATATCTCGCTGAAGCTGTGTGGCATAAAAAGAAATACAAAAGTCTTTGTTTTTGAATTTAATAATTTATGCAGGAGAAGGGGGTCACTAGCCCTGTGCTCCTGGCATTTTAGTTGTCTCTTACGACATGCATGGCTTACAGAGGAAGAATTCTTTCCCATTGCCCCATGGAGATATGTTAGTCTTGTCATGATGAAATGTTTACTTATTATGTTGACCTGCAGGTAACTTATCAGCAGTGGTTATGACTAGAGTACTGACACATTAACTTATGTTGACCTACAGGTAACTTAGCAGCAGTTGTAACCAGAGTACTTATACATTAACTTATGTTGACCTGCAGGTAACTTATCAGCAGCAGTTATGACTAGAGTACTGACACATTAACTTATGTTGACCTACAGGTAACTTAGCAGCAGTTGTAACCAGAGTACTTATACATTAACTTATGTTGACCTGCAGGTAACTTATCAGCAGCAGTTGAGACTAGAGTACTGATGAGGTACTCAATCTCTCATATACTTACTGTGGACTCCAAGCCCCTGCCTTGCAGTATTACCTCACTCCCAGGAATGGCTTTTCTATATATACAAGGTAAGACTGTATTGGGCTTTCTAAGTATAATGCAATATTTAGTGTACATAATTGTCATTATATTGAACTACAGTAGGTTGGTATACAGCAGTCACAGAGGGAGATACTAACATCATGCTTTATGACTGAAACAAAAATCTGTTAAACATTTTACCAGTAAATCTTACCCAGTTCTAATTAGATTCAGTATGCAGTACACCTTTCCTTATTGAGCTTTGCATCTTAATAGATCTTACTCCTGGATCACTTCCAGTTAGGAGTAGTGGTCTAAGACTGGGTTATGAGGATAAATATTCATATATTAACCCTTCAATTTGACACAGGTGTTACATTCCTGAAATCTGGTACATAATATAGCTCTAACAACAATGAACTGCTTTCAAGGCTACTGAACCCTTTCATTTTCATGACTCCAGAAATTAAAAATGCTAACAATGTCGCAATTTGACAAAAAAATTCTTCTCAAGATTACATTTTTGTGTTTATAAGAAGAATAAAAAATTTTCCATTAGTATTTACCGAGATATGAAGGTATGAAGTTGAAGATCATTGATCTGCTATTGGCAGCATTGGCGATTGTTGCGCATTCCATGTGATTTTGTATTTTTTATATTTTTTTTCTGGGGTTTTCTAATTATTTACATTTACCTGGGCCCATGAGACCCATATTCTGCACACTGTGCATATAACTAGCCAGTGTAAACAACACAATCCACACTAACAGTGTCATCAGTATACAGTGGAACCCCAAGTTTTCGTACGCCCTGAGTATCGTATGCTTCGAGTTTAGAACTGTTTTTTTTTTTTTTTTTTTTTGGCTAGATTTTGTCCCAGACCTGTCTGCCTCCCTGCACAGCCATTGTGAGTCAGTCTGGCTTTGTTTCTCCACGAGTGAACATTACATTACACGTATACTAGGAATTTAAAGTACCCTAGAGTGATAAAATGCATATATTTGTAGTCTTAATGGTCCTAATATAGGGTGCAAGGTGAATAGTAAGGTAGGTAAGTATCAAAGTGTGGTAGGTATGTAACCCCCATCTGGCTACCCCACCCACATTATATATTAGGTATTTAAAGTGCCATAGAGCGATAAAATGCATATACAGTACACTCATTACTTACCTTAACCCTTTCAGGGTTTCCGACGTCCTAGTACGGCTTATGCACCAGGGTTATTGACTTACTAGAACGTCTGAATTCTAGCGCCTTCAAATTTACTGAGAGAAAGCTGGTAGGCCTACATATGAAAGAATGGGTCTATGTGGTTCCCTGCATGCCTGCTACACTTCATGCATGTCTGCTACACTCCCCGCATGTCTGCTACACTTCCTACATGCCTGCTACACTTCCTGCATGCCTGCTACACTTCCTGCATGCCTGCTACACTTCCTGCATGTCTGCTACACTCCCAGCATGCCTGCTACAATCAGTGCATGCCTGCTTCACTCCCTGCATGTCTGCTACACTTCCTGCATACCTGCTACACTCCCTGCATGCCTGCTACACTCTCTGCATGCCTGCTACACTTCACACTTAAATTCCATGGTGCTTCTCACTTTCTTTGCCACAGGAACTTTCTTTGGAGCCATGGTTACTTATTTCACAGTTGCACTGCACAAATAACACAAACTACAATGGGAAATAAGCAAAATGTTTAGATGTGCAAGCAGAAGCTTTCTCAGGCACTGAGAGACACAGCAAAACTGACTCACAAGCAGCCCTAGCCAGCAGACAGACGCTTCCCAAATGGCCGATCACCGAACTAACCCCTTGACTGTTTTGGCCGTATATATACATCTTACGAGACAGTGTTTTGGACGTATATTTGCTCAATAATTCTAGCGGCTTCAGATCAAGCAGGAGAAAGATGGTAGGCCCACATGTGTGAGAATGGGTCTGTGTAGTCAGTGTGCACTGTATAAAAAAATCTTGTAGCACACAGTGCATAATGAGAAAATAAAACTCCGACCGTGTTTTTGGATTAAAATGCCGACTTTGAGGTGTATTTTCATATAGTATTTATGGTTGTATCCTTGAAATTGAGCTCAAAATAGCGGAAATGTTCGATTTTTACCAGTGTTCAAGAGTAAGCAAATCACACCACACGTCCAATACACATCAACTGGGAAGTCTAATATTCTTTCACTAGTGCACTGATATTATTTATACCATTTCTACAATAATGCAGTAGTCTGCATAACAGTAAATCTTCTATATTTGGGGGAATAAAAAATCAAAATAGAAAGCAAGAGTAATATAAGAGGGGCCTGGAGACGTTACTAATGAACAGAGGTTATGTTATTTTAGCACCAAGAATGTCTGCATTGTTTATTCTGGACCCTATTTTGAAATTAGCATCTTTTTAATTTGCATGAAATTGGCCAAATTGCCAATTTCTGACCACTTTATTGGGTAGTTGAAATCAGTTCTTGTACTCAATTGGCAGAAAAAAATGGAGTTGTAAAGAAATAGCTATGAGTTTGGTCGACTGGAACAATGGAATTGGCCAAAAATAGGGCTCAGTTCGACGAAATTGCTGATCCTTATATATCGCCGAGATGGCTAACTTCGCAGGAGAGTAATTCCGTAAGTTTTCAATCAAATTTCGTACTTTTAGTGTCATTACCATCGGGAAAAGATTCTATATCATTTCATGAGAATTTTTTTTTTTTTTTCCAAAAATTTTGCGAAATAGATTGAGTTTCAGAAATGGGCTTGGACAGTCAAATGGTTAACGGCCAATGACCAGGTGCCGCAAAACCAGCCAATCACCAAGTTGGCCGATAACAGAAGCGGCCGATAACCAGGGCTCAGATGTACAGTGATACCTTGACTTACGAGTGCCCCAACTCACGAGTTTTCTGAGTTATGAGCCATCGTTCAAATGATTTTTTGCTTTGAGTTGCGAGCCAGCATCTAAGTTATGAGCAAGCTTCAGATACGCTGCTACTAGTTTATGGCATATCTGAAGTCAAATCCAACTCTGTACCCAGAGGAATGTACTTTGTCCCATCCCACATGCTCTTCCAAGACATAACTGGAAGGATAATACTCCCACACAAATCCCAGATTGTAGTGAGGTACCTCGTCCCTTGTTTGGTTCTTGTATAAATCTGGGGAAGAGATAACCTCCATTTCAACACTCAGAGTTTTTCCAGAAACATTAAAGTAGGTAGGTAGTAGGCTGGTAGACAGCAACCTCCCAGGGAGGTACTACCGTCCTGCCAAGTGAGTGTGAAATGAAAGCCTGTAATTGTTTTACATGATGGTAGGATTGCTGGTGTCTTTTGTCTGTCTCATAAATATGCAAGGTTACAGGTACGTCTTGCTACTTCTACTTACACTTAGGTCACACTACACATACATGTACATGTTTATTTATACACACTCATCTGAGTTTTCTTTGATTTTATCTTAATAGTTCTTGGTCTTATTACTTTTCCTTTTATATCCATGGGGAAGTGGAATAAGAATCTTTCCTCCATAAGCCATGCGTGTTGTAAAATTCAACTAAAATGCCGGGAACAGTGGGCTAGTAACCCCTTTTCCTGTAATAATTACTAAAAAGAATAAGAAGAAGAAAATTGTCAAAGTGGGAAGTCTGAATGTGCGTGGATGTTGTGCAAATGATAAGAAAGAGATGATTGTGGATGTTATGAATGAGAAGAAGCTGGATGTCCTGGCTTTAAGTGAAACAAAGCTGAAGGGGGTGGGAGAGTTTCAATGGAGAGGAATAAATGGGATTAGGTCAGGGGTTTCAAATAGAGCTAGAGCTAAAGAAGGAGTAGCAATAATGTTGAAGGATAAGTTATGGCAGGAAAAGAGGGACTATAAATGTATTAATTCAAGGATTATGTGGAGTAAAATAAAGGTTGGATGTGAAAAGTGGGTTATAGTAAGCGTATATGCACCTGGAGAAGTGAGAAGTGTAGAGGAGAGAGATTTTGGGAAATGTTGAGTGAAAGTGTGGGGAGATTTGAACCAAGTGTGAGAGTAATGGTAGTTTGGGATTTCAATGCTAAAGTGGGCAAAAATGTTGTGGAGGGAGTAGTAAAGTTTGGGGTGCCAGGGGTAAATGAAAATGGGGAGCCTTTAATTGAGCTGTGTGTAGAAAGAGGATAAATAAATGTACAAGGTATAATATAGCACGTAATGAAAGTAGTTTCTTAGATTATGTATTGGTGGATAAAAGGTTGATGGGTAGGCTCCAGGATGTACACGTTTATAGAGGGGCAACGGATATATTGGATCATTATTTAGTTGAAGCTACAGTTAGAGTAAGAGGTAGATGGGAAAAGAGGAAAATGGCAACAAGTAAGAGGGAGTTAAAAGTGTATAAATTAAGGGAGGAGGAAGTTCGGGTGAGATATAAGCAACTATTGGCAGAAAGATGGGCTGGTGCAAGTATGAGTAGTGGGGGGGGGGGGTTGAAGAGGGTTGGAATAGTTTTAAAAATGCAGTACTAGAATGTGGGGCGGAAGTTTGTGGTTATAGGAGGGTGGATGCAGGAGGAAAGAGGAGTGATTGGTGGAATGATGAAGTAAAGGGTGTGATAAAAGAGAAAAAGTTAGCTTATGAGAGGTTTTTACAAAGAAGTGTTATAAGAAAAGTAGAGTACATGGAGAGTAAAAGAAAGGTGGAGAGTGGTGAGAGAGTGCAAAAGGAGAGCAGATGATAGAGTGGGAGAGGCAATGTCAAGAAATTTTAATGAAAATAAGAAAAAATTTTGGAGTGGGTTAAACAAGTTAAGAAAGCCTAGGGAACGAATGTATTTGTCAGTTAAAAACAGAGTAGGGGAGTTAGTAGATGGGGAGATGGAGGTTTTGGGTAGATGGCGAGAATATTTTGAGGAACTTTTAAATGTCGACGAAGAAAGGGAGGCGGTAATTTCATGCACTGGCCAGGGAGGTATACCATCTTTTAGGAGTGAAGAAGAAGAACAGGATGTGAGTGCGGGGGGAGGTGCATGAGGCGTTACGTACAATGAAAGGGGGTAA